TTTGGTTGTCAACATAAAAAGAAATATTTAATTCAAATTCAGTTGTTGAAGTTTTTTTTAAAAGAACATTGCTCACAATTTTAAATAAAATTATTTATTTGCTATATTTTATTTTTTTGTACTTTTGTTTTGAATTAATAAAATTTAAGATTTTATAAGTTTGTTATTTTTTTAATATATTATTACATATATGTTTTATATTAATAAAATATATAGTGGTATAACTCAAATAAAAAATATGTACAATTTTAAAATTTTAATTGACATCTTCAAAATCAAACACCAAGATCCGACACTAGTTTATATACAAATATATATCTACATCATTTATGTTAATTTCATCAATATAGTAATTAATTTCATCATCGCGGTTATTTTGAATTTCATCAAAATCAATTTTACCATTCAAAATTCTAACTAAAAAATTAATTAATAACTAGGTATTAAACAATCATCTCTTGAATGTCATTCTTGTAATTGTACCATTTTACCTATTCTTAATTTGTCTTATAAAATATTTAAGTTATTCTTTTAAATTTTGTTTAAAGATTGTTTCATTAAGTATTGAGATTTATATACACACATATACATATTTGTAAACATGCACAAGATCGTATAACATAAAAAAAAATCTAAACAAAGCTATAGTATGATTTTCATTTTCTTAATTATTTTAATGTTCACATTAATAAATACTATTGAAAGATCAATTTTTAAAATCCCCCATGTGTTAAACAATTTAGCAAGTGTTGAGGTAGATTGTATATATACATATGTCATGATCATTTCACTATATTAAGAAAGTTGCAAGAAATTGTACCAATCCAATGTGTGCTTTAGCTTCTTTTCCAATCCCAAAGTGGTGTTTACTCAATCCCATAGGGTATGAACAGAAGTATATCTATGAAGGCAGTGAAAGTGTAGAGTCATTCCTTGAATTTCCTCCACCACAAGAAGAAATTCTACTTGATTTTCAATCTCCTGCATCTTTCATTCAAACCAGTTTTGACCCCTGCGTGGCTAAGAAGCTCAACCACAATGCTAGCGAACGCCACCGGCGGAAGAAGGTTAACAGTTTGTATTCATCCCTTCGTTCATTGCTTCCAACAGCAGATCAAATGGTACCAACTAATTATATATGTTCTCATCAATAAATTATTATTCAAAAACCCTCTTTGATTATATCAATATGCAACTTAATATTCATTTGTTTTAATCAATTTGTTGCTGCAGAAGTTGAGCTTTCCGGCCACAGTTTCACATGCACTGAAATATATACCAGAATTGCAAGAGAAAGTGGAGAGATTGGTTCAGATAAAAGAAGAGCTTTTGGTGAGGATTTCTCAGCAGGGTGGTCTTAAATGCTGCAAAGAATTAGATCAAAGAAAAAGCAGAAGTGGCAAATGTTCAAGTAGTGCTGCTGTTTCCATAAACCGGCTGAGTAGTGATAGTGAAGTTGCAATTCAGATATCAATGCATAAAGACAAAGTTCACAAGACTCAAATGTTATTGGGATTTTGCATTTCTTAGAGCAAGAAGGATTCCTCCTACTAAATGCAACCTCTTTTGAGTCATTTGGAGGAATAGTTTTCTACAATATTCACCTTCAGGTAAAAATACGTATGTAACTTTCTTGGATCATTATTTGCATAATTAGTAATTAGTTTTGGTCACTTTCTAATTACATCTAAATTCTGTCTTGGATTGTGCAGGTGGAATTGGAAACAACTTACAAATTAATGGAATCAGATCAGGCTTTAAGGGAGAAGCTTTTGGCATTGTGTAATATATAATAGGGAAGGGTTGCTACTCTATTATTAATAATCTTGGCTATAGGATCAATATATATTCCTAACTAGATGTTAATTTTGATTTATTAAAAAGTCTTGTTATATAGATTAAGTTTGTAAAATTTGAAAATTAAAAAAAAAAATTAGATAGATATTTTTATTATAATTTTTTACATAATTTTAACCATTGAATAAATACTAATTAAATTTAAATTGTAAATAATTTTTTAATAATTTTTTGCATATTATTAATATATTTATTTGGATTCTTAATTAATGCCTTTATTATATCGTTTCCAGTAAGAAATTTCACAAAATTTATCTGAAGAAGTTCATTTTTAAGCCTTACCCTTAAATTCATAACTTAGTACAAAATTAATAAGTTTCAAAGGACAGGCTATGGAACAATTAACCAATTCTCAAGCAAAAGGGTACTGATATCTTGCAATATTGTCGTTGAAAGAAAGTTAACATTTTTGGATTAAAGGATGCCTAAACCCTAAATTCGAAAGCATTTGAAACCTTAAGACAACAAGTCGGATTTGAAGTTTGGAGATATAATTTTTGTATGCCTTTAGACCCAGACACACATTCGATTATTGGATTAATTCATTAGTTTAGATTTGAGGATCTTTTGGAATAAAAATAGAATTATACCTGCTGTGTTGTATTATATTAAAACAATTAAACCTGCATGATGACATGCTGAAGATGTTGAAAGGACGATATAATTTTACATTTACTGAAATCATTGTAATATTTAATATTCATAGATAATTTTGGAGGAACAATATAACTGTACATTTGTAAGACTCAACAAATATTTTGAACTTGATGGTGTTTTAGAAAGAGAATTTGATTCCTTGGATTTTTGTAATGTGGATTTGACGATGTATACAATAATTTTTTATATTTATTTTGGGTTTGTTTTGGTGTTTTATTTTTGTTTATATTTCAAGTTTTCTACTTATTATATTTTATTTCTATCAAATTATTTTTTTATGTACAATTTTACATTTAAATTAAATTACATGTTCTATCATATGGATTTCTTTTCTAACAAATTAAGATTGATAGGTTAAAAAAAATGTAAATTAAGACTCACAATTTTTTTATAGTAAAGGGGTTCGACCCTAACTCTTTGAAAGGGTCATGTATTTATTTAATCTTAAGTCAAATACTTAGATATGATAAGTTAAATAAAAAATTAAATTAAATGTTTTAGTTAAACCAATACCTTTTTTTAAAAGAGTTTGACCAATACTTAATATATATTACATATTAATTAATTATTAAATTTCAATAAAAATAAAATTAATTTTTTATTGCCTATATCTAAACCTTTAATATTTTAAAATTTTTTAATCTTATCAAGTATTAAAAATAACACAAATGTTGTATACCGTCACATTTCACGGGACCATTTGGATTTTTTTTTTTTTTATAATCTGAATATGCATGCGTTTAAATATTCCATAAAGAATGCTAACGACTCTTTCAAGCAATTGATGGATAACATACATAGTAATATTTTATGTTTCTTTTGTCATTTGGTCAACACGCTCTCCTAATTTTTTTTTTCCATCAACATTTAAACAGATTAATTTTGTAATGAATTCATGATATTAAAATTAAAATTATTCTAGTTTAATTAATAATACATATTATTTCATCAAATATATTTTCCTCTTTAATTCTACTGCACGACACATAAATAATATGATATTATTCATCCAAAACTTTTATATAATATAAAAAAATCTTTTAAAAAATCTAATTGACCTTTATTTAATGAAGTTATATATGTGTGCAAGTAGAAATTATAATATTTTAAAAAATTTCATGTCTTATAAGAAATTAATGAAGTAAATCAAACTGGTAAATCAACATAAAAAATATATATTTAATAAATTAATTAATAAATCTATATATAATTTGACAAATATAATATAAAATTATACTAAGTATGAATTTGAATTATGTAAAAGTAAAATTTGAATGTTAGATATATCTTTCAATAAAAAGGGGATCGATCATAATATGTTCTAAGATATCCAATTAGTCTTAATCATTTTGGCTCAATTTAATTATTTGGAAGTGGTTAAAAGGGATTATAGGGATATATAAGTTGCTTTCACTCTCTATTTTTAGCAGATATATAAATAAATAAATAAATATATAGCAAAAAAAAAAAAAATAGCAACGATATTTCCATCGTTTTAGGCATCAATCATTATGGTTTTGGACAATTTTAGTTCAATTTATTTGATTCAAACTTATTAATTATCTAAAATCTATTTTAATTGAAATGTGAAGGAAAACTCATTAAAATCATATCGATTTTTTTAAAAAAAATTATTTAATATATTAGTAGTGAAATTTTTTATCTTGCACTATCTTCATTCTGCAATATGTTTTGAAGAAAAAAAAATTGCAATTCTTAAAAAAATTAATAATGAAAGAGAGCTCTTGGGCAAAACTTATTTCAATTTGTAATTGTCTACCCAAAATCTATATCAATGTGTTTTAATCCAATGTCTAAGATATCAATTGGGCGTACATGCATGTCCCTATTTCGCCATTATGGATTTTAGCATTTTCGTTAATTTAGATATTGGTTGATAGAACTACCTAAAACTCTAGTGCAAAGACACCTATTTTATTATTATTATTATAATTAAGATTATCTATAAAAGTTGTTTATGCCAATTAAAAAAAACAAAAAAAAAAAACCCCCAAAATTTAAAGTTACAAAAACAAAAACAAAATAATTTTCAACATTCAAATTCAAATCCCCTCCTTCAAATTGTAGTTTTGATAAACAAATTAATGAATTTCTGGTAAATTATTAAAGGGTAGAAATAAGTGGTATTAAAATGAAATAAAAAGGGTAAAAACTATTAGAAATATAATTTCACAAGCATGATTAAAAGGTTGTTGTATTTTTATAATTATTTTTTAATTTTCTTAATCTATTATATGTCGTATGTAAAATTTAAAAACTTTATCTAGAAGAAATAATTTTTCTGAAAAATCACTTTCTTTCTTTCTTTTTCAAATATTAGGAAATATGTGTAAAATAAAAATGTAATAATAATTGTTTAAGAAATTAAAAAAAAAAAAAAAAGGAAAAAACCCCGACTTGACTGCTTGACCTGTTGACCGCGGGCAGTAATACACTCTTTCAGTCCTCAGTCGCGTTTCCTCTCTCTTATTGTGATTTCTAGCAATTCCCGACCCAGACTCGCAACCCGACGCGGAAAACCAACATCCCGACAATGCCTATTAATTCGACGAAGAAGAAGATGGCGATGACGATGAAGACGACCTCGTTGAAGAAGATGAAGAAGACGACAACGTCTCGTTCGAACCCGCCACGCCCCGAGCAGTGAAGCTGAAAATGGACGCTCTAGTCCGACGTATGTTAATCGGTACCGTTTCAATCCACGTCCACGACGTGATCATCGAAGGGAACACAAACACCAAAGCTTACATAATCGAGGCCAAAGCGTCAGAAGCTTTGAAGAAAGCCACCACGATGCAGGAGCTGTTGCGAGCATCGAACGCGGTCAATTCATGGCTGAAATCGCCCGGACTATTTGATTCCGTTATGGTCACGCTCAATTCAGGCCCGCCGGAGATCCCTGGAAGCGCCAATGTCATTATTGAGGTTCAGCAAGCAGGGAATCGGTTTTCGGGAGAGATTGGAGCTTATACAAAAGCTGAGGTAAAATGCTTTGTAAAAGTTAGGTTTTTTATTCTGTGAATAATTAAATTATTCTTATTATGAAGAAATTAATGTAATTAATTTGATGCTGGATACAAAGGCCATAAATTTATTAAAAATTGTTTTTTTTCAGTAAAATGCTTGGCATTGCATTATAATGGGGATTAAAAAAAAAATCCAATTTTAGGTCTTGTGAATTTGTTGTTGAGCAATGTTAGGAGATTGATTCTTAATTTCTGATTCAATCCTCTTGTAAAAATTCTCCTTTTACATCTGCCTAATCTTCATTTTTTTCTTTAGTCATTCTAGTAAGTAAATTCTTAGCTAGCTTTCATGTGCACAAGGTTGTGAATAGGATTGGAATTTGTTATGAAATATGGATATAATGCTTTACATCTGTAATTTCTGTGAATTATGATTGTATGATGTTTTTGCAGTTTAAGTCTTCCTCAGTGGAAGGATCAACCAAGTACAAGAACTTGTTAGGGTTTGGGGATCTTTGGGATGGTTCAATTCCATATGGTTTTGACCACTCTGCGCAGGTAAGTGCTGGTGTATATTTGCCCAGATTGAAAGCATTGGTGGCTCCTGCGACTGCTCGTGCATACTTGTTGACCCAAAGATCGGATGAACTTTCCAACTCCCAAATTAATTCCTTTGGGCTGTCCATAGCTAAATGATTTATATTTTTAGGTATGGAGTGGACGCATGCAAAGTAAACTGAAATTCTTGACAGAGAAAACTTGGCAAAGCCAGCCTTCTCAATAAGAAAATGGAAATAATTTTCTCACAGTTTTATTGCACGTTTTGAATAAGAAACAAAGCACATAGGCAACAACTGTTACGGTAGGAAACAGAGGTAATTCTAAAGTTGATTAAGAGGATTCAGGCAAACTGAGAAGAACACTGGTGTTCAGGACGGGTGAAATTTACTATTTTACTTCAATCCCAGAGTGAGCAATTGCCATTTCTAATCCTCGTGCTGGTAATGTATCTAGGAAAAGATAAGATGAGAAAAAAAATGAATTAGAATTGTGTATAATAATAATAATAATAATAATAATAATATAATAATTATTATTATTATTATTATTATTATTATTATTATTACTAGCTTAGTGCATGGTTCTTCAAAATCATGGTGAGGGTCAGGACAACCTCTCACGTGATTTCAAATTTCAACAAAGTACTTTTAGGAATTGTCATAAAGAACTTGATGAATACTTTCTTGAAAAGGAATTCAATCCAAACAGACACCAGTCCTAAATGAAATATAATCCACAAAGCATGAATCATACTAGTCATCTTCATAACCATAAAAATGCCAAGTAAGTGCATCCAACCAAACTTCCTTTTGACACAATAATTGCATGCATTCAGTGGGAACAAAATCTTTATAGATGGTGTCGAAAAGCGGGAAAATATGAAGTAGAAAACAATAAAACATAAAAGAAAATGCATAAAAGGTCATCTTTGTGCAGAAAGAAACTGAAATTCAGTTAAACCTTCAAATTGATCGTGCACTCAAGTCAAATATTAATGGTGTTAATGATGTACTTGATTCATACAAATTTGAAAAGCGAGACAAAAATCAATATTTGACTAGAGTGCAAGGACCAATTGAAGATTTTGACCAAAATTGTTCATCCTTATCGAAAATCTCACAAACCTTGTTAACATCAACAAGAAGCGCAGAATCATATCAAACTTGAAAAGAACATGCCACAAGAAAGTTCCAAACATCAAAGTGTTTGAGCTGCTGCTGCTGCTACCAAATAATCATAACAAATAATCCTTGGTGTGCGGGAAAGATCTCTAAGAAAACTGGAAAGGCCAAGCATTACTACGAACAGGCAACTACCGTTTCTTAATGTAGGCCTCCAACAGAGACTTGGCATTTGGATGGTCCCACTCCACCATTTCCCACCACTCCTTTGGATATGCTCGAATTGTTGTAAGAAAACGAGGAGGAGATGGTTGGCCATCATCTTGTGAGTGAAGATTTAGAGGTATCCTCTGTAATTTTGGACAATTTATTAATTCAATCCCCTCAATAGAATCACAAACCATTACTCCATTTGCACCACAAATGCTCTTCAATTTTGGCAGATTCCTCAATTTCAATGTCTTTAATCTTGGAAGAGTAAGTTTGATGGCACTTGTTCCTTCTTCCACCAATTCTGATTCTGATGCTATAATTTCTGCCATATCCCCACATTCCTCAACACATAAACTATCCAAATTTTGAAGGTTCTGAAACACCCAATTGGACGAGAACAACTTTTTTATTTTTTTACAATTAATTATCACAATCCGAGAAAGAGATGAAAATTGTTATGTGGCACCGGGATAAACCACGAGAACAATGGCTTTTCTTCACAGATACCAACAGTGCCGTTGACAATATTCAATTCCTCAACATCAGATAGGAGCTTAATATCACCTGTACAGATGTTACGATGACCAGTTAATTCAATGGCTTTTTCCAACCCATATGCAACATCCAATAATGGATCACCCACATAAATGTAGTATCGACTAGGTGTTTTTCTTCGAGCATGCAAAGCTTGAACATAACTGCTCAACTCCTTCAAGTCATCAAAACTCCCTTGAAAGAATTCCAACTTCCTCAATTCACCGATTTCCTGTCCTCCCACGAATATTCTACGACAAACTCCATGTAAGTCCAAGTGTTGAAGGGATGTGAAATTTGCCAATATTCCATCGGCCATCTCTGTTAGTTTCGTGTAACTCAAATCAAGATGTTTGAGATTTACCAATCTTTCCATCCCATGGGGGATATCCGTGATATATGTTCCTCCAAGGTCCAACTTCTTTAAAGCTTGAAGTTTTGAAAAAGATGGTAGCTTACTTAAAACTGCACACGAATGAAGCAATAACGTAGTGAGAGTTTCCAAATTAGAGATGGAATTTGGTAAACTCCTAATTGAATTATGAGAAAGATCAAGAATTTTGAGTCCATGCATTTGCTCAAAGAAACAATCTGGAATACTCTCTATAGCACAATTGGGCAACAATAATGTTGTAAGCCTTTGACATTTTAGGGGTGGCATTTTGGATGGAATTTGTAATGCCCTATTCTCCATCAATGAAGCCTTCTCCAAGTCTTCATTCCAATATTGTACATCCGGTATCTCTTTCAATTGCATGCCAGCTCTCACCAAGAATCGTGGTCTTACACTTGTGATGCGTAATGCCATATCCCTTACAACGTCATGAAGCTTCACTCGACCGCTATATACATTAGCATTTTCTATCAAACAACTGTTTTTGAGTTTATTCAGTATGGCATGCCCCTTGTCAATCTCTATTTGTATGTTATCCATTTCTTCTACAAGCCCTTCCGCAATCCAAAGATTTATAAGCTCATTTGCATCAATTTCCCAATCTTCAGGATATAATGCACAGCAGAGGAAGCAATGCTTCACTTTTTCATCTTGTAAACGATCATAACTGAACTGAAGTTGTTGAAATACCATATCTTCCATCTCATTCACACTTTTTACATGTCTATTTAATTCATGGAGTGCATTTCTCCACTCATGAACATCATGTACACCCTTCATGCTGCTTGCTATTGTAACAATAGCCAAGGGCAAACCAGCACATTTTTCACCAACTAATTCCACAAAGGGTACTACATCTAGATGATTGGAAACACCTTGGCCTACTTTTTCCCAAAACAACCTCAATGCATCTGGTTTTGAAAGAGTAGGCACTCTAACTTCTTGACAACCAAAATAGCAACACACATCTAATAACCGAGTTGTTAGCAATAATTTGCTGCCATTACAAGGCTCGGGGATGCCTACTTCTTCAAGAGAAAATTTGTCCCATAGATCATCTAGTATTAACACATACTTCCCTTTACGAGCCAACATTTCATGTATCATCCCAGCTCTTGTTGTTTTATCTTCATCTTCATCAAGGGTTACTTTCATTGCACCTGCAATCCTATTTTGCAGTTTAATGATGTTCATCTCCTTTGATACAGTGATCCATATCACAATGTCAAACTTTTCAGTCTCTTCCAAAAGTTGGTTGTGTATGAGCTTCACGATGGTTGTTTTACCTATTCCTCCCATTCCACAAACTCCAATCTTTTGAACATCAGCACCCATCAAGTAGGCCCAAATTTTTTCCATACAAATCTTTGCTGCTCCACCGAATAAATTTGTCGTCGATAGAGTTTGTCCAATCCACCCAGAGTTATCAACTACCAAACCGTCGTGGAACTTACCCCCTTGAAGAAGTTCATCCACTTCTTGTATCTTCTTCAAAACATCTCCTTTGAGGAACCCACGTGAGGCAAAACTACCTTGTCCAATTTTTTGTTCAAGGTCTTGGATTTCGACGCTTAATCTTTCAACATTTCTGAACCATAACTCAACTTCTTTCTTTAGTTTCTTTCTGGGATGCAGCTCTGTGCTCATTCTTGACTTCGTATCCTCTTTTAGAGTATTTAGCGCCTCCAGTTTTCTCTTCAGGTCATTCATTTTGTCATCAAGGTTTGTTGGAGTGTCCCAAAATTCAACAATCTTACCAGGGAAAAAATCCATAGTAGCAAGTCCCTACGAACATTAGAACAAATAAGTATATCATAAACCATTTTGACGAACTTTTATAACTCTAACCATGTAAATATATAGATGGAGAAAATTTCTAAGGAACATATTTTAATGAGACAAGTTGGTTATTAAAGATGTGAATCAATATTATATATTGCTTTGACCCCTATGGAGATGGTGTTTCCCCAGTTTCAAATGCTATTATACCAATAATGTATATGTTTTCCTATAGTCCTTTCCAAGTGCTTAAAGGTTGGTTCATGGATCTATTACTTTACGGTCTTGCCTAATTCTTCATTTCAAAGGTAATAATGCTTTCTTCAACTTACATCACCAAAACACAGCTCTCAAGAATTAAAAAGTTAGAGCCTTGTCCTTGAAACCCAACAAATCAATTATCAAGGCTATTACCATTACTATTACTATTACCAGAACCTAAAGCCGAAGTGATTAATTTTAAAGCAGATTTAAATTTTTTTATGTGATTGCTTGATCATAAGATCCATTTTTCTAAAGAATAACAAAATTAACAAAGTTGAAATGAAAATTTTAAACAAATAATTAAAAAAAGCGAATATCAGTAGTGAAAAAGGAAAAGAAAAGGCATAAATGAAACAAAAAAGAGAAAACCAAATCATGAAAAGCATGAAAAAGAAATAAAGTACCGTAAATTAAATTACTTATCTACCTTGAGTTAAGCTCCTAGACAGGCTGTTGTTTCTGCCAAACCTTGAATAGAAATGAACCAAATTTATGAGTAATTGTTATGGGTATGGTGTCACTTTCATGATGGGTTCCACGGGTTTGGTTACAAATAGCTATCAACGTTGATTTTTTAGGCTTAATACTTAGTTTCACGCGACAATAAGTGGAATTCACGACCAACAACAAAATAGAACAACAAACTTTCGTAGACTTTTTGCTGTAAACGACAAAATACTAATCCGTCATTTGATGTCAGTTAACCAACCATCAATTGTCACATCATTTGAAAATGTGATCACAGATTTTTTCTTTATTCCTCTTTACATTTCGTATTCTCATTTTTTTAATATAATTATTTTTACAAAATATCAAACTTTTGAGCTCAATTTTCCACTTCCAATTCTTTGGTGGAAAAAAAACAAATAAAAAACAAAAAATAATTTCCAACCCTTCCTATCTGATGATTGGCTTCCCAGCAACCAATCATAACATGATAAAATAAGAAGAACCCGAAAGGAAAAAGTTTACTAAATTAATATGATACAGAACACAATTTTTCCAACTCTTGTTGTCTTAACTCTCAATTGTAAGAATCAGCAAACGGGGATGGCAACCCTATAAATAAATATATGGCGCAATCAATAGTTATGAAGGTTTGCAGCAATATTCTATTCACGTAATTCTCTTCAGATTATTTACACTCTCATCAAGTTCCCATTCCCATGAGAATCACCAGAATTTTCCAATAAAATCCCCTATAATATTTGTTACGGATGAGAAAAAATTGAGAAAAATAAAAATCAATTCAAAATTCTAATATTTCATATGGATTAAATTTTTTATTTAAATTTAATTAAGTTCAGATATTAAATAAATATCAAATTCGGATTGAGAAGCAAAAAATAAAAAAATCAAATCAAAACAAATTATATATTTTTATTAATTTTTATATATTTTTTAAATTTTTATAAAATAAAAATAATTATTTTATATCTAAATTTATTTAAATAAATTAAAAATTATATTAAAATACTATATAAAAGCAAAAAAATTTAAATTTTAAAAATTGATAGACTGAATCAAGCTGAACAAATAGAATTTGATTCAAATAAAATTGATTTAAAAGAAATATAGGTTTGAATTCAAATCGGATTTAAAAATTTCATAGCATTAACATTATTTGAAAAAATAAAATAAAATTTGATAGATTGTCTAAATTATCACTAATTTATAATAAAATATCAATAATTTGCTACTATATTATTATACATTTACTACTAAGATATAATTGATTTACCACTTATAATAAACACACTTATAAAATATAAATAATTATTAAATCGATACTTTCATAATAGGAGTACAAATCAATAACCATATGTTTAAAGAATATAAACAAATAACATGAAATAAACTATAACATTATTTATTGAAAGAATATAATAATTGCTTACAAAACTAACAAAACTTTGATCGTTCAATAAAACATGCACAATTAATCATGTCATTAAAATATTTTTCACTATCAAAATACAAAAATATTCTAGAACATTCTTAATTGAAAAAAAATAAATTTATATTATTTAAGAAAAAATTATAAAATATATTGATAATAGAGTTTTTAAATTTCACGATTAAAATTAGTAGCGTAATACACATACCATTTAAACTTCACAGTATATTAAAAAATGCTAATTAAAAAATGAGTGAGTGATATTAAAAAAGAACCTGATTGAAAAAAATAAGTGAATGATGTTTTAATTTCTTAACCCTCTTGTAAAATTAAAAAAAAAATTAACTAATAGTATATCAAATAATTTCTCTTCTTCGAGATTAATGTTTCTTAACGATATTGACTATGGTTTCATAAAAATATTTTGAGTACAAAATATTTGAAATTAAAAATAAAAAATAAGGATAAACCAAAATTAATTTGGATGTAGTATAGAATCAATCTATAACAGACAAAACAAAAACGAAGTTTAGTAACAACTCACGTATATGGGAGATTATGTTTATAAAGCAAAGATTCATTTAGGTATTGTAACGTTAAGGCATAATTGCATAAAATGATTATAAATATTATAGTGAAAGAAATCAACCATTGCAATCATTAAACATATAAATATATATTTATCATAAAAAAATTTAAAAAAATCAAACATTCAAACTTATTAATTATCTAAAATCTATTTTAATTGAAATGTGAAGGAAAACTCATTAAAATCATATCTATTTTAAAAAAAAAATTATTTAATATATTAGTAGTGAAATTTTTTAATTTTACAAATAAAGTTAAAAAAACTCACATATCTCGCTTCTTTTTAATTAGTTTTTTAGTACATTACAAGGACCTGCTAATCTTGCTTATAAAGTTTCAAAACTTTAATGTTAATGTATTTGATACTTTTTAATAAACATAAAATCATAGTTTTTTTAACAGTTATATTTCAAAATGGGCTTTAAAGAACTATGCCTAATTGACCCACCCAAATCTGGGCTAGATTGGCCCGGCACAATGAGCCTTGCCCGTGCTTAAATGAAAAACAATTAAATAAATTTTAAAGGTGAGCACTGAGAATGTCTCTGCCTCATATCTCGCTTTTTCCCCGCCAAATGAGATGGTGATAACATTCTCCTTAAGCCTCCATTTTACTCCCAAAAATGACCTAAAAAAGGATTGGAATTCAATAATCAAACACCAAACCAAGCTGAAAAATGATAATGCAATTCTCTCTACATTTACCCAAATGGAATCTCTGGGTTTAACACCCAATAAGGCCACTTTGCCTTTGGTTTTGAAGGCCTGCACAAAGTTGAACGCCATTGAAACCGGTAAGAGAATACACTTGAGTATTCAAAACACCAACTTGATTGAAGATGTTCGAGTTGGGACTGCTATTATTGACTTTTATTGTAAGTGTAGTTTTCTCGAAGAGGCGCGTAAGCTGTTTGATGAAATCGGTGAAAGGGATTTGGTCTTGTGGAACGCAATGATATCGGGGTATGCAGGGTGTGGAGAATTTGAGGAAGTGTTTTTTCTGGTGATGAGAATGCAAAGAGAGGGTTTTAGGCCAAATTCACGTACGTTGGTAGCGATGCTTTCAGTGTGTGAGGAGGTTGCAGAAGTGAGGTTAGGAAAGGTGATTCATGGTTATTGTTTGAGGAATGGGTTATTTGATTTGTACCCCCATGTTGGTACTGCTTTGATTGGGTTTTATTTGAGTTTTGATGTGAGAGCTTCGCATCTTGTGTTTAATTTTATGGCCATTCGGAATACCGTTAGCTGGAATGCTATGATTATGGGGTATTTTGGTGTTGGAGAATCCTTGAAAGCTTTGAAACTTTTTGAGAAAATGCTTATGGGTGGAGTTGAATTTGATTCTGTTACAATGTTGGCTCTTATTCAGGCCTCTGCAGAATTTGGATCTCTTAAATTAGGTAATCAAATTCATCAAATGGCTATAAAGTTTAGTTATAGCAATGACTTGTTCATTATAAATGCATTGATTAATATGTATGCGGAGATTGGAAGTTTGAAGTCAGCATGTAAATTATTTGATGTTACCCCCACACGTGATGTTGCTATTTGGAATTCTATGATATCTGCATATGTTGACTACAGCCATAATGAAGAAGCCTGTGGTTTGTTTATTAAAATGCGAACTGAAGGCAACAAAGAAGATGAAAGAACTATTGTTATTATGTTTTCTTTATGTGCAGAATCAGCTGATGGTTTGAAAATGGGTAAAAGTTTACATGCTTATGCAAGCAAGAGTGAGATGGGGATGGATATTAATCTAGGGAATGCTATGTTAAATATGTATGCTGAACGAACTTGTATAGATTCTGTCAAAAATGTTTTTAGGGAGATGAGTAATGTTGATGTAATCTCATTTAACACATTGATCTTAGCTCTGGCCCATAACAGTTTGGGAAGTGAAGCATGGGAAGTCTTTGGTATGATGCGAGAATCTGATGTTAAGCCTAACTCTTACACAATTATATCAATCCTTGCTGCTGTATGCAATGATGAAACTTGTCTAAATATTGGGAGATCAATTCATGGTTTTGTGATAAAGCAGGGGATAGAAGTAAATGTACCCTTGAACACTGCACTAACTGATATGTATATTAACTGTGGTGATGAGGAAATGGCTAGGAATCTTTTTGAGAGTTGTCCCAGTAGAGATTTGATCTCATGGAATGCTTTGATTGCTGCCTATGTTAAAAACAACAAGGCTCATGATGCTTTTTTAATTTTTAGCCGCATGATTTCAGAAGTGGAGCCCAACTCAGTTACAATAATAAATATTCTCTCATCATGCACCCATCTTGCTCATCTGCCTCTCGGTCAATGCTTGCATGCTTATATGATACGGCGGGAATCCTCTTTAGGTCACAATTTGTCTCTTGAAAATGCTTTTATAACAATGTATGCAAGATGTGGAAGCATGCAATATGCTGAAAAAATCTTCAAAAACTTACCAAGGAGAACTATTATATCATGGAATGCCATCATAACTGGTTATGGAATGCATGGCCGTGGTTATGATGCTATTTTTGCCTTCTCTCAAATGCTAAAGGATGGTTTCCAACCAAATGAAGTAACTTTCATATCTGTTCTATCAGCTTGCAGCCATTCTGGTATGATGGAGGAAGGACTGCAGCTGTTTGATTCCATGGTTCAGTATTTTAAGATCACCCCTCAGCTTGCTCACTATGGATGTGTCGTCGATTTGCTTGGTCGTGCAGGCAGCTTAGACAAAGCTAGAGAGTTGATTGAATCAATGCCCATCAAACCAGATGCTTCAGTCTGGAGAGCTTTGCTTAGTGCTTATAGAGATCATTGTTACACTAAAGAAGCTAAGGATATTTTTGAAAAAATTGTTGAATTGGAGCCTATGAACCCAGGGAATTATGTCTTGCTTTGTAATGTATATGCTGCAGCAGGTCTCTGGTCAGAGGTCAGACAAATCAGAACATGTTTCAGAGAGAAGGGCTTAAGAAAGCCTCCTGGAATCAGTTGGATTGTTGTTGGAAGCCAGATTCACTCTTTTGCTGCTGGAGATAGATTGCACCCAATGGCTGACAAAATCTATGCAAATTTGAATTCATTGTTGCAGTCAATGAAAGAAATAGGATATGCTTCTGATCTTCATTGGATATTGCATGTTGATGAGGAGTATATTTAAAGTCCAGGGCAGTTCATGAGTAGAGTAGCAAATTTTGGCCTTCAAAGTGACTTTCTGAGGGGTGCATCAATCATCATCTGATAGATGAAACATGGCATTGCTCATGAGCTAAAATCCTTTTGGTTGCAGAAAATTTTAGGGGATGATGATCTGAGTCCCTGCTTATGTGTAGATATCATTGAAAGCTTGACTAGCACTGAGAAAAAGTTATTGACCCATTACTTCTAATATCAGTTATTCTCCTATCAAATGAAGCAAAATTCTTTCCGAGTCTATGAAGTCTATGAGTTCTTGGATGGATATTGGCAGAAAGAGGTCATATATACAGCTCAGCATGGTATTTTAATTTCATCAATGCTTCCATCATATGAAGGAAAAACTACAGGATTATGGAGCCTAAAATTTTGGGAAAATTTTTACACATCAACGATGGATATTTGCAGAAATCAGTCACACATTAATCCAGGAGGGTGCAATGATTTTGCAATGGTAAGTACATCAAACTGTTTATGTGATCCTTTATCTCCACATTATCGAAATATCCACTGACTAATGCAAGACCTTAATCTCTTACGTCAGTCTTACGTAATTTTTTGTAATTACTTCACTAGCTGATTAGGAACATCATAAATACTGTGAACTTGCTTATTCATTGTATATTTTTTTTTATTCCTGAGTTCTTCCTATTCTGCCTATTTGTTTCTGAAACTCTATTTTCTATCCAGCTGCACTTGCTTTAACCAGATTATTACTCCGAATGTTCCCTTGAATTGCAAATAATTCTTGATACTGAACAACTTTCTGAACCCATTCTGCATTTTCTGTAGTTTTGCGCATACTTGTTTCAAATGCCTGTGCATCCGAATTGAAGCCAAGAGGATTAGATTGAATATTATAGCAATAGGATCTTTCTTTTTTTTTCCCCTCTTTCAATGATCTACCTCAAGGAAAGAAAAGGATAAAACACAAAAACTTTTGGGTTGGAACTTGGAAGATGGAATCATGCTTTCAAATGTCCTTTTCTTTTCAAATTCATTTTAAACATCTTTTATAATAAGACTATTTCACATCTATTTAATTGATTGTCACTAATTTCTATGCCAAATTTAACTCTATGTAATCTTGTCTTAAATTTCCCCATTGATTTTTCCTGTCTTGAATTAGAATCATAACAGTTATGTATATGGTCCTACCAAAATTGATAAAATTGGGAAATGAATACAGGATTTATACTGCCTAAGTGTGAAAGCGGCTCAACCAATCTTCAAAACAATCTTTCAACGTGTGACGGTGTGATAATGGAAGAGGGAATAATTTCAACATTCACTAATTGTACTAAGCCAAAAATCACATTAAGCAACAGCTATTCTAAGCCATTATTATGTCCATAAACAAACAACCAATAGCAGTTCCAACAATTAGTTATCAAGTTTATTTTTAATGGAAAAATCCAAGAAGATATATATTCTAAAGAGTATTCTCTTAAAATTAATCTATTCAAAGATTAATGTCCCAAAAGAATATCCTACCAAGCCTCACCATCGCCCTCTTCTTGCCCTCCACTCAAACAAAGGACAAAGCCTAAAAAAAATCAAAGAAAGTTAGGCAAACCATTAACATCAATCCCTTCATAATTGATGATGACCAAGTTGTCCTCTGATGAGCTTTAACGATATGACTGGGTAGACATCATATATCTGAACTCTACACGGTACCTTGAAGCCCCGTTGTCCGAAAAGTAGGTTCTGTATCACATCTCTTTTTCTTTGCTGAATAATTTCCATCACATCTCTCTATCAGAGAATATGAAATCATTATTAAAGACAGAAAATTTTCTAAATAAAAATACTTTCCACCTTTCCATATCAATAATCACCATCCAAAATATTGAGATCCGTCTCATCATCCGTTCCCAAAGACTTAATGTAAAAAAAATGGAGAAACAAACAAGATGAAGCAGAGAAAGAGAGATAGAGGGAAAGATGGGAAAGGACCAAAGAAATTGAATACATAATACTACTACTGATGAATTCCATTGCAAATTCACATGCAGAAACAACTAATTCAAATAATAAAAAAATTTTGGGATGGCAAACTTCACCGCAATGGAATATAACATTCTTCCTACAAACAAAAGAAGCCCAAGGAAAATTTCGGTTAGAAAATTGTCTGACCAGGGTTGGTTATTCACTAAGTAACTCAGACAGGTCTTCTCACCCCTTCTTGACTTGTTCTGTGATAATAATAAATCAATGGGGACAACACCTACCTATTCCTTTCTCTGTACATTGTCTTCCTCTATCTTGTTAATTCCTATATCATCAACCAAAAAAATAATAAACAACTGCAAATACAATAAGGTTTTCACTAAAACATAATCTTATCAAGCTGCAACTGTTCAGGCCATGCTAGAAAAGTTGCATGATCACTGAGTTCGTGACGGGAGTTGGAATTAGAACCCTCAACTGAAAGTGTCCTGCTTGAGGCTGCAGCTGTGGTCTGAACTGATGGAGATACCTTCACCAGTGATTGAACCCATGAAACTGCAGGCTCCACACCATGATGCCCAATAGAACATGATTAACAGAGCTGACCTAATTCATCTTCTTCAACTGGCCAGTGTACTTTGCCACAGGGGATAGCCCATCTTGACCAAGGATTTACAGGGAAACCAACAACACCTTTGGATTCAAGATCATCTGAGAGCTTATATCCAAGTTCTCGTGAGCTTAAGCAGCAAAACAATTGCTGCTGGTTCTCAATATTAGTAGAATCACATAATCGGGAGTTCAATGGGGATAAAGGTTCCATATTCCAAGGTGAAATTCTTTCTAACAAGGAAGTATCAAGCGCAGACAGCAAGAGAGGATGATCATTCTTTGGAGAGATGTTTGTTTTGATTGGGGATAACACCCTTTGTTGTTGCTGTAGCTGATTCAGAAGCACAGATTTATGCACAGAAGATAGAATAGGGAAAGCAGTTACTTGATCAGGATATCAAGGAGAAGAGACCTTAGTAGAGAAAAACCAAGCTAAATTTGAAGATTTAGTTGACAAGTGTGGTTGTGAAAGACGGGACAAATTATTAAGATGCCATTGCTGGTGCATTTCAAAATCCTGTAACATGTTGAGCTCCATGGCTGTCATGTTTCTTGCATTGGGGAAAGGCCTCAAACGTCTTCCTTGAAGATTGCTGCCATGAGATGCAAAGTTGGAAAATGTTGAGGCCAACCCATTGGTGCTTGAGAAATAACATAGCAGAAGGTGACATGGCTGGAGAAAATGGAGACATTGACATTGCAGACAATGCTGAGGGAGAAACAGGCAGAAGGTTCATGGCTGTGGCATTATCCATTGTAGTCACAGCAGAAGCAGCAGCTTGAGGAAACTGAATGCCCAACCCAGAGGATACATAAAGTGGTCACATTTCCTCAGGTCTATCAGAAAAGAAGCAAACACGATGATTGCAAGTTGTGCCATCCTTGCAGATTTGAGTTCTGTACTGGGGCAGGGTGCAGCCAGGATTCAAAAACACCATGAGCATATTCACAAAAATCTCCGTGCTTACAGGTCCCTTTACAAAAATCTGGCACACCACTATAATGAAACTTTCTTGGATCTCTTCTTCACGCATTATCACCAGGATGAATGAAAGGACACTCTGTCCAATCATGGGGGAACAAGGCCAAATCTTAAACGAAATTCATCAGTGATGTAAATACAGGACCATCATTATTTGAGAGCTCTTCAAGGGCTACTTTTATCTGGGGCATATTCCAAGGAGCAATAATAAAATCAATGATGCGATGTCCATTGGCATCAGTGACACAAGGATCAGCACCAGCAAGTAAAAGCAACTTGACAACCTCCTCAGCTCTAATAAATCCACCAGAAGCAGCATAGTGAAGAGCAGTGCTCTTATCAAGGCCACAAGAGAGTCACATCTACCTCTTATAGAGAAAGAATTAACTGCACAACTTCAACACTACCATATTTAGCAGCAATTAACGGACTTCTTCTATGCTCCACCACGATCTGTTTAGAACATTGCCGGCGACCATACCAAAGTCCAACCTCACCAACCAAAGAAACATCAGTTATAGTCAAAGATATCTGAAAACCATCAACATCATTATCAGCAGCAAACTCAAGCAAAACGGGGAATGAACATTTACTACCTACCACTCCAGTCAGACAATCCATTTTTTTGGTTTCCTTAGACGTGGATAGAGTGGCAGTCTTAGCATGTAACTGCTCCGGACTGCCACACATGCTTCAATCCAATTGATCAGAAAAACAATCTGAAATTTAAAAAAAAAAAAACAAGAACAAGCAACTAGATAAAGTTTGAATAACAGTTCCCTAGCATCAATGCATCCGCAAAAGGAATACAATAAGACAAAAAAAAAAAAAGAGAAACCCCAAAAGTATTTTGAAAAGAAGAAAAAAAATAAAAATATTGTAGATTAACCTGGATTTTGAAACAAATGTATGAGAAAAGCAATCAGTGAAGATAAGGAACTGGGGTATAGATATGCAAAGCAGTAAATGTGCAAAAGAAGGAAAATCAAATTTTCCGGAAAATTTGATTTGCTAATAAGGAAGCTTTGGACTAACCTAAATATTCCTTATTTTCCGGGTCAAAAATCACAAAAAGAAAAAGAAAAACTTCATACTGAAAAAGTTTCAATCATTTATCAATAAATCAAGAGTAAAATTTTCAGGCTAGAGTATTAATTTAGATGTCATGCGTGCTAATCAAATTAGAGATTGGGTGTTTGAGAACTCTTAAGTACCTAATGTCTTTTTCATTGTGACTACTTGGGAAGTTGTGTGTTCAAAAGAACTGAAGCTCCTAATGTCTTCTTCCATGTAAGTTAAGTACACAAGGGATTGCGGGTTAAGTATACGTTAGGAATTAAAAAAAAATAACTAAAATTTGCAGGACTTACCTCAGAAGAGAGAAATATATTCTAAAAGTAATTCTTAAAAGTATAACTTCGAGAAATTGCAGATATAGTAATGAAAATTCATGGACAAGAAAATCAATGTGATTAGCTAAAAAAAAAAATTATAAAATGTTTAAACGAGACTCCAATGGTTATAAAAATTAATAAATTACATATCAGGCTGGGTCGTACCAACATTTCATTGCATAAATATTAAAAGAAAAAGCTATTTGAAATTCAAATTTGTTTGACATTCCCACATTTTCCTGCCTACAAACATATCCAGAAAAAAAAAAAAAAAAAGGAAAGAACTGGTCAAGCAATTATTCAACTTTGCAAGAATTATAAAAGAATCCAATTCAACGAATCTTCAACTAAATCGAAAACCAATAAAAAGAAATCATTTAAGAAATGAAAAAGAAAAAGAAAAGCACAGCATACTTTTTCCTGGATTCTGAGTTGGTAAATGTACCATACTTTACAGAGATAACAACCAAGAATGCAAGAACAAGCTAAAAAAAAAAACTAAAAATGGTAACAGCAAAGAATGCAAGATGAAGAAATAGAGAGAAAATTCATTTTCATTGAAGAAAGTTAAAAAAATAAATGTTAGAAATGAAAGATTAACCTTGGAATTGAAGGAAGGTCGGGTTGGGTTGAATTAAATGTCTAGGAGGTAGGGAGGGTGACCGAGAGACGACGTGGGAGAGAGAGTGGAGTAGGTGAGCGAGAATTGTGGATTTGGTGACCGGATAAAGTGGTGGACAACGACTACTGTCGGGCTCTCCATTTTGGCCGATTGGCAGTTGATTTTATTATTATTTTATTTTAAATGGGGCCTGGTGAAGCGAGCCTTGATTGGAGCGATGTCGGATGAGACTGCAACTTCCAACGGCGTTAACAAAGTCAAAAAAGCTACTTTCATCATTAATGTCTTTTTAAGTTGCAATTGCAACCGTGTTTACACTCTATTTTCAACACACGTAATAACAGATTCTTTTAATTTATTTATTTTTTCTTTAACTAAGAAGAAACCGAGATGGAGAAAAGTTGCAGTGTTCCACCAAAGACAAGTCAAACTTCAAATGGGATCAAGTTAAAACTTATTTGACATAAGATTTCATAAAGGTATTTTTGCAAATCCCACAGTTGCTTGCAATGGACAGACGAAAACTTATATTCAGAAAACTACATAAACTGACTATATCACATTGATCAGTTTCCTCGTCAATTCTCTCTGTTCATTAAAAATGGAATCACTGAAAGTTATGTTTGGAATTGATCATTCATCTAATTAAGACATAATTAAAATAGCAGAATTTTAAAATTTTAAATCTCCCAAGTCCAAAATTAAATTTATGAGTAACTACCATATAGAGTATCAAATAGTCAAGAGTATAATTTTGTTCTTACCTTGAGTAGAATTATCAAACTCGGCTGTTGCAAACATACATATGTCCAAGCATGCAGACTCTGATGTTTAGTCCATGAACAAGAAGGAAAAAACTTTCGTAATAATTGGTACAAGTTTTGTAGAAATTCCTTAGTAGTATCTTCGAATGCCCTCTCAATTTTTTTTTCTCTCATTAATTATTACACATGAGATTAAAAAATGACAAAAATAAAAGAGTTATGTATGAGAGAGGGCAGCATTAGCTTCTTAAAAGAGATTTTCAAATAGGATTATTAGGATATTCGGCCAACCCCTTAAGGACTTTTAATTGTTTTAATTTAGTCTTTTATGAATTTCTAATTTAATCTTTTACGAATCATGTTTTACATGTGTGTGATTAATTAGATTTTTAACTTATATGTGAGCGATTAATTAGATTTTTTAATATGTTAATAATAATTTTTTTTTTCATCTCAAATTGTTTAGATGGTATTAACTTTCAAGATATTTAATAAAAAATTTTTATTTTAATATATTTAATATTAAAATTAAATTTTCATTATTTTTAATGTTAAAAAGTTAAAAAAAATCATAAAAAATAATTTTAAAGCGTAAAAAAATGAGTTTTAAATATTCGAAAAAAGAAATAAGACATAATTTTGAAATATCCTAAAATAAAAAAGATGAACAAAGCAAATAAGACAAAGGGAATAATATTATAATCCATAATTAATTTAGATTAAATGAATCAAACTCTTTTGAATTCATCGTTAATTCTCCAACTAATCAATATTATATTTATAGATTATAGTTGTTAAATAAATCATGGCCCTCAATTATTAAAAAAATTAATGAAATTTGACCAACCTATAAATGATAAATTTTTTAATATAATATTACCCTTTCATTACTTAATATTTTGATTTGACATTGAATATAGATTAGTGTACCCAATTTTATTAAATCATATTAAATCTCTAATTAAGACTTTCGATCACTCCCAATGATGAGTCTTCTGATTACCTATATAATTTTTATATGTATTGTTATACTCAATATTATTTTATTAAGGCATTCATGATTAGGATCATAAATAAAATAATATTAAAAATAACAATCTTTATATAAAATCATTAATAACATCAAGTTAAATGATCATTTATGCAAGTACTATATGAGAATGTTGCCACATACACTAAATGAAATACCAAATGACATTTTCATATTATATCATATTCAATAAATTTATTCTTATAACAAGAACTAATATATTAGTTTAAGTTTAATTAATCTTCAACTTTCTATTGCTTGCGTAATCACATGGTAATGTCAACAACTATTATTAATATTCTTTTTTGACAAAATACTAACTAAAACTATTTTAAAAATATAGCTTTGATATAATGATAATGTCATAATTATAATTTATTTGTAATTAACTTGCTGAATGGACTTTATAACAATAAGAGTATAAAAGAGAGCATCAAATTTATAATATAACTATGTACAATTAGATAAATCCAATTGCCATGTAGGCCATATATTAACAAATTGATTAAAGGGTGGTGAGGATGTTTGAACCCTTTTTAAGGGTTATTCGATTCAATAGAATAAATTTTCAATTTGCTGGTCTGATTGAAGATATGGGTTCAATTCTGTCAGATACGTAGTTTTTAAATTACTTTATTTTACTCAAAGTCAAAGAAAAGAAAATTAGGTTATTTTTTTAAATTGTTAACCATAATTTGTTTTGTTAGATCTTATTGTTCCTTTGCTTTTTTTTTTTAATTCTTACCAAATAAAAAAAATGATCCAATCCAAATCGAACACTATAATTTTGAATTAATTTTTTATTTCTTAATTTTTTTTCACCCCTAATTATTATTATTAAAAAAAAAGCTAGATAACATCTTCAACGCCGAAAAATATTATCGATGAGACTTTATCTCAACGATAAGAGGAGACGTTTGAATCTTTAGATCTAAATCTTGACTTTTGAGTTTTATACATTATTAGTTCTAAACCTATACGATAAACTAGGTATATTCATAGATCAACAAATTCATATATAAGTTTTAAGTTTATAAACAACTCAAATTTTATATCATTACGAAACATTTTACTTATAATTTATTTTACTATAATTTTACAATTATAGTAAAATTATTTTCAATTTAATTTTATTAATCTTATCGTTCATCCAAATCGATAATAAATCCAAGTAGTTTTAAAATGAAAGTCAATCATGTCCTTGATTTCAAAGAATTGAATATTTTATTATAAAAAAATCAATTTCCTGTACAAATTTTTTCATTAAAAATTTTTTCATAAGGAGTTGTTGGGGCAAAGATTTAAAAAATAATATAAAACAACTAAATTAATTAGATTTATTTTTATTTTCTTAAATTACTCTCAATTAATTTCACATAAAAAGTGATAAAACTTAAAAAATAGTATAAATAATTAAATTAATTAAATATATTTATTCATTTTTATTTATCTTAAATTACACTCAACCAAATTCATATAAAAAGTAATAAAACTTTAAATGTTATCATTAATACATAGTATATAATATTGTGTCCCATTCTTTCAAGAATATTATAATTTTAGGTTTGAATTTAGCAAGAAATTTTAATTATTAGACTAAATCAATTTATAAATGACAAATAAATGCTAAAATATTAATTATTGGACCAAATCAATTTATAAGTGACAAATTAATGACAAAAAGAATATTATCACACATCATACAAAAATAATATTTTCTAACTATGAATGTATAAAAAAAAAGGTAAAAGTAATGTGTTTACAATTAAAAAAGAAGAAATAATATTGATTTCTAGAAAATAAAAAAAATAATATTGATCAAATAACATATTTATAAAAGAAAAGATATAATAGAATTTTATTTATGAGGCAGTCTTAAATGTCTTTAAAACTCTATCACTCATCAAAAACCATTTTTATAACGAAAAATTCATTTTTCTTGAATTTGCATTCTTCAATACTTTTTGTTAACTTT